AGAGAGAGAGAGAGAGAGAGAGAGAGAGAGAGAGAGAGAGAGAGAGAGAGAGAAAGAAAGAGTATATAAATAAACATGACCAAACCAGTGGTTTCAAACTTTTTTGTTTTGGTAGTACTGGATTTGAACTCAGGGTCTCACACTTGTAAAGCCGGTGTTCTACTACTTAAGTCACACCTCCAGTCCACTTTACTCTGGTTATTTGGGAGATGGGTGTCTCTTGAACTATATTCCTGGGCTGGCCTTGAACCTTCATGCTCCCAATCTCAGCTAAAGAAGTTAGGATTATAGACGTGAACCACTGGTGCCTGGCTTCAAACTATTTAACACAACTTTAAAAAAAAGCATAGAATATCAAGAGATAAAATCAAATCTAGCTTTCCCTTTCTAATCTCCCAGCTACCCAGCTCTCTGCAGGGTATGTTGAAAATCACTACAGCATCATCAAGTACAAGTTAGATATTGTGTTCACAAACAGAATTATGCATGCTCGATCTCTCTTTAATAACTGATGCTAGGGAAAGCATCCTCAAAAACTCAAAACTTCCTTAAAAATTACCTTTCATCATTCACCTTCTATTAAATATGATTCAACTTAGTTTAAGACTATGATAAGCCCAAAGAATACCTTCCACTTTTTCCTTAGAAAGTGTGAGTTGGTTTTATCTAACTGGATTTTTATCTCAGTTTAGTTTATTCACTTTTTGACAACTTTATAGCAAGTCCTCTATTTTCTCCCACAATTAGCTCAGTGTGAAGCATACAGAAGGATCTTAGCACTGCTGAGTGACTTCTCACCCAAGTCTTTATGTAAGGAAATACAAAATAAAAATTATTATGTAATTTAAAAGTACATTACAAAGACATTCCACACATCTTAACTCATTAAACCAAGAACATCAATTAGCATTCATCAGGCCCTAGTAATACTGCTGCTTGCTGCTTTTCAATGTCATACGTATTCTACTAAAAGGCACCAGCTTTTAATATATTTTTGTGAGCCACCAGTGCCTGGCTAGAGCAGTTCATTTAAACACGACAGTTTTAAGAAAATTTAACTCTTCAATTATTTGAAGAATGAAATAAATCAAGTAAAATTTATTTGTTTTTCTGGTGCTGGGTATCAAACCTGGAGCCGCACAAATGTTAAGCATATCCTATACCACTGAGCTGTACTCCCTTTTATCCTGTTTTAATGTAAGTTCATTAAATGTTTTCTTTCTCTATAAGTGGCAATGCATTTGTTTCTGAGATTCCATTCCTCAGGATTTATCTTACTTGATTGTTTTCAGAGCATTAATTATGACAGATTTTTCTGAACCAAAAGCTACCTTGCTTTGATGCAACAGCCTTTTAGATTATTTTGTCATTGCCTAATCATGAAGATTCCAAAATGAGAAAAGACAAAAGTTCAAAATTCTATAAAAATATTTCATTTCCAACTTTATTTTTATAAGAAAATTAGTGATTTATAAAAAATACAATTGGCCAGTATGCTTTGTCACTTTACTTACAGGGCACATCAAGGATACCCGAAGACTAGTTGTAGCAATTTCACTATCAGGATCTGCAGTTAATTTTTCTTTAACTTTAAAAAAGAGGGAAAAAACAATGTTTTAAAATTAATGGTGACATTTGGGCCGAATTACAGAAATATATCTTATTTTAAAATTTCCCAAACTCTTATGAACACAACCACATTCCTAGTATTAGGTTAAAGAACAATGAATTTGCAAACTCCACATCACACATTTGACTGAATTTTTAATATTTCTCTCTAAAAGCAAGATTGCTGGTCTTGGTTATAAGACAAAAACAAAATAACAATTAGGAGAAGAATTTGGAAAATAGGAGTACCTCAAGCTTCAATGCTTTTCTAATACATATCATTCCTATTTTTCGTTAGGTTGCATTTTTGTTTCAAATAACTGTTAAATTTATAAACAGAAAAAATATATTCTTTAACTCCTCTGATAATTGAAAGCTTACATGTGGTAATATGTCTGAGGTTTGTTCCACCAGGTATATATACAAGTTATTGTATGTATAAACTAATAAATATGCAGTAATGTAATAAATCTCACAAATATTGATATGTATATGTTTGGAGGTTTCCCCACTGAAGTCTCTCACACGCTCAGTCTTACAAGCATTACTTACTTAGTGCTCTGGAATGATCAGGGTTTCTAATACCTTTCATTTTTAATCTCTGTAGTAACATGGCTGATGTAAGCTGTCGCACAAGATATACAGACATGGAGTAATTCTATAAGGAAAGATGATCTATATTAAACACAATATCCTCTTTATTTACGTGGAATGTTTTCCTAAGAAACTCTGGTTTCTAAAAATAACATTCAAAGTAACTTCCAAAGGAAGTTCAATGACAGAAATGGAGATAAAAAATCAACTAGACTATTTCAGGGAGACAATGGCTAACTAGTTCTGAAGGTTATTTATTTCTCAATAACTTATCACTTTAAAGCATTCATTGGTTTGGTAAATATCTTCCATCAGTGGTTTCTATGTTTCAAATTGAGCAAAACTAGTACCTTATGAGCCCCTCTCATCTACTTCCAACCAGATCTACTTACACGATGAGGCTCTCATATTTTCACTAAAAAATGAGTCCCAGCACAGAAACAAAAATTCAAATGACAGTGGTCTGAATTAATACTTCAAGTCCAGAGTTCAAAGTTCTAAACCTAGCAGAAGATATCTTAAGTTACATGGCCTTAAGCAAATCATTCAAATAAAAGCCAGTATCAGCGTTCTTCTGAGGAAAGTTTAACAAGTTAACTCTACTCTTCCTAAGTGAACATTTTACTGGATAAGGGGCAACTACTACCATATGTATGACACATGAAGAAATTATAAAAACCAAAAGGCAAGGTCAGAAAATAATTGTATCTAATCCTATGCCTCTTAGATCTGACACAGGGAATCTTTGTTAGCTATTTACAGAGCTATGAGGAGATGAAGTATAATTTTACTTTAATGCTAAAAAAAAAAAATCTATTTTAACAGGGGCTGATGGAGTGGCTTAAGAGGTAAAATTGGCACTCATGAGGCTGGTAAGTGTGAGGCCCCGAGTTCAAACCTCAGTACTTCCAAAAATAAATAAATTCTATTTTATTCATCCAATTGATACCACAATGAACATATACTTTTAATAACTACCAAACTGAATATTTTACTTTTTAATGGACTTTTAAACGTCTGAATACTTGATACATTGTGCAAATTTTAGGCCCATTAATCACTTAGTAATTACAAAGAACAAATATTATTTCCATTATATGGTAAAACTACCAAGTCTTCAATGTATATAATCATTTGTTCAAGTATTTGTAAGTTGTTTCCAGCTCTATAATTATCTTAAGAGAGTAAAATAACAACAAAAAAAATCTTCTGCCATAAACACATGCTTCTATTTCTCTATCCACAAAACAGGAACACTACAGTTGCCACTCAGAAATTAAATGAAATCTTTTTAACCATCCATTATTTGTTACTTAAACAAGTAATTTAAAAAATATTGTATTAATCAGTATCTCATAATTGATATAATTTTGAGACTAAGAATCAGCAGAAAGGCAGATTCATCAACCCGAAGATATAAACAAAATAAATTCTAAATTAATTTTCTTTCCCTTTTTCTCTCTCCTCCTTGTAACCCCTCCCTCCGTCCCGTCCTCCCCATCTCCCTTCCTTCTTGGAACTGAATTTAGGGACTTAATTTGCTAGGCAAGCACTCCAACTTGAGCCACATCTCCCATCCGTTTGCTTTCCAGATAGGTCTCAAGCTAACTATCTGAGCTAGCCTTAAACTCTCAATCGTCCTGTATCTGTCTACCAAGCAGCTGGGATTATAGATGTGCACCCTCATGTCCAGCCCTAAGTGACTATTTTTAATAAAAGCCACATGCTAGCTGAATTATTAACTGTTGATGTAAAGGTGGGAACAGATGATTTCTAACTGCAACATGAGTACATTTAACCTTGTCCCACAAAGACTGAAAAAAGCTTTGTTGCTGTGCCTGCCCAGCCTACGGAATTCAAACTCCAGTACCGCCAAAAAAAAAAAGAGCTTTAGTCTTTGTTCCTCTTCATAAATACTTACTCAAAGCTTTGAGTTTGTTAAAATATTACTATACACACACACACAATTAAACCATTACCTTAAGACATAAAAATACACACATTTCCTTTCCCAGAAAATAGACAGACAATACTCAGGAAACCTCAAGAGTTAGGTTTTAAACTTTTTTTCCCCTTGAGCCATCACGTAGTCTTTTTTTTTTTTTTTTTTAGGTATGTTGTCAGCTTTTGGCCTGGGGCCATCCTCAGACCTGGATCCTCCTACCTATGCTCATAGCTGGGATTACAGACATGCCCCACCATGCCCAGCCTTAAGAATCTCTAACTCTGAAATGAAAACTGCTACTTTTCAGAGATCAGAAAACTAACAGCTGGAGCTGACAGGCCAAGAAAAGAAAATGAAATAAATTCCCAATGGAGAACTCTCCATGGCACCAAGAGAACCCTTACCTTTCCAATTTCGGATGCCCAAGAAATAGAAATCTGATTTGGCACAGCTGAAGACAACCTAACTAAAGATGTAATATTCAAGGGTCGTCCAGGGCGCTTCTGTTCAATCCCATTCTTAGGCGGTGGTGCATAGCCCTATACCATAAGAAGAAAAATTATTTTAAATGCTTTGTAAGGAATTAAATATTTTTTCCCAAATAGAAAAAAAAAACAGAGCCTGCCTAATTTTGATTACTCTAGTTTTTTGTTCTATCCTAAAAAATGATAGTCCAGAAAAAGAAAAAAAAAAAAAAACCCATATTTTATCATTAAAATTAAAGATGCCAACATCCTGCCATATTGCCTATAATCATCCTCCTTTTTTATAGATAAAGTGGCGACTCTTTGAAATGACTCCTCTTAGGAAGCACCGTTCAACAGTCACATACTAGAGTGGGGAAGAGGAAGAGCAAATTTCGAGAATGAAAAACAATGCATTATTGAATTTCAAAGGAGTATTAAAATCCTGTAAATGATTAATAATACTTTCTGCCATCCTTTCTCTGAGTAGAACAGAAAGCAATCTTTAAAACCAGGTCAAATTAATAAGACAAGTCATCACTTTTTCAATTGGAATTAAATTAGCTTGACTTTGTTTTAAATAAGAAACAACTCATTTTTGATTCACAGTATATCCAATTCTCAACAATTACCACAGGCTTTTTAGACTGTGATTTTTAAAAACCAAAGTATTTTAGAAAATTAAAATTTCTCAGCTGTAATAAGTTACATGTGGAAAAACTGACATTGTATTTCACTGACTATATACCCCTGATGTAATTTATTTATTTACCACTATGAAGGAAAAAACACTAAGCTAATGATACAATTTAGTGTATCATTACTTAGTTTTACACACTTAGCAAGGAAAAATAAGCCCAATGAACTGACTGACATATTCAAAAGAAACTTCTGGACTACTTTTCACTCAGGTATCAATGCATATGTTTTCTACACTGTATTCTTCCATGTATAAGTAAGAGATTAAAGATAAAAGAATCTCTTAAAACAGGATTCCATCTGCTAACATCTCTCAGATATCCTTGCAAGTAACTGACAACCTTAATTGCTGTGTTAATCCCAATACAATATGTATCTTACCAGAATTAAAGGTTCTGACTAAAGAACTAAAGGTTTTCAGACAACGGCCAGGATTCATGCTCCTTTTTCAAAATGTCCTTAAATTATCTGTTGACTGAAAAGCCAAGGGCTTGTAGCCTAACCAGTCATGCCATGGGAACAGCAGCAAAGCTATATGAGTGTAGGCAATGACAAAACATCATAGCTGCCACCAGGCCATTAACAACAAGACAACTGTTGATTTCAGCATTGGATTATACACTTTACAAATTTTGGCACTGGTGGTATTATGTAAGCAGCGCTTACAATGTTTCATAAGAAGGATAGTAATTAAGTGGCAATTCATAATCTACAATTGGCAACAAACTCCTGAAAATCATCAAAACCATTTGTACAGGGGATTAAGGTCAGAAAGAAGAATTTGCATTATAATATAGAAATGGAAGTATGAGAGTATATGTGGGGTATGCACATCTAAATTTCTTCACATGAAATGCAACAGATAGAAAAACTCATAAAAAGACCTCTTATAAATATCCTAGGAATAGATTCAATGAGCCACAAACATGAGGCTCAGTGTCAGTATTTAGGCAATTAGCAACGCAAACTTTTGTTTTGTCTGTTTTGGACCTAGAAGATAATTCTGTATTTTGATGTATCTACATATATAGGTTAACCAAATAAAAACAACAGAATAGGGGCTGCCAAGATGATAAAAATAACTCATGGCCTAACTAAACATAAACTCTATAAACTGGAATGTGAGTCACCTAACATTCTGACAGTGTGGAAGAGAGCAGTAAGCGTGGGGAGAGCAACAGTGAATGTAAGAATAAGTGTTAAAAAGGCTGCAATGTAGTTCAGTAATAGATGACTTGCCTAGCACAAGCAAGGCCCTGGGTTTGATTCCTAGCACCAAAATTTTTTGGGGGAGGGGACATGACTATAATTCCAGCACTAAGGAGACTGAGGGCAGAAGGATTGTGCGTTTGAAGCAATTCTGGGCTACATAGCAACACCCTTTCTCAAAAAAGATTATTACGCAAATTCAAAATCACGTATGGCACTAATCTTAATTACCTAAAGTATTTTCAATCTATTCTCTATCCCATTTAAGTTAACTGACTTCACTGGTAATTCTGATTTAACTGTATTCTCCTTCTAACCAGTAAGTAGTACTACTTCTACCCAACTGTCTTCTGACCTGGTTACTGAGAACAGTTAAAGAATTCTGTAAAATATAAATATTTTGCCCTCACATATTGCAACAACTTTCCATATTGAAAGCAAAAACAAAATCAAATTCATCTGGCAGGATCTCAGGAGCAAAGCCACAAGCTTTCTCAATAAAGGCTGCTGGCGAGTACCAGTGGAAGATGATGTGGGGTCTGAGGATAACACTTAAGGAAAAGAGATTCAACTTTTTATGTTAACATGCTATATTGCTATGTTCACATCTTATTCAACATGCAATTGTAACAGAAGTCCACTGGGCTGCTCCTTTAACATCTCTCAAATTTTCTCATTACATACGACTTTAATACCACCAACATAGATTTACTTTTTCACTAAATTATGGAAAATTTCAAACATTTACAAAAGTAAAGAGGACACCAGGTACTTGCCAATCAGGTCAATAATAACCAACATATTTACAATCTTGTTTTATTTGCCTCTTGCCCCACCCATCAACCTGCCACAAAACACATCCATCATAAAAGTTATTTTTGCCCAAGTATTTAAATACAAAATTGATGCCATTTGATCCAGGTATTTCAATATGCATCTTTAGTAAGACCTAAAAAAATTATAATATATATCACAACTTTACAAAATTAACAATTTAAAAGAATCATCTAATACCCTGGTTCTATTACAATTTCCTAGCTGCCTCAAAGATGTTGCTTCCTTTACCACTTTATTAATGAAAATTTCAAACACATACAGTAGGAGGGAAAAAACATAATGAACCTCCATATACCAATCACTCAGTTCAGTAATTTATTTATTCACAAACAATCTTTACCCCCCCCTACCCCACCATCACCCATATTATTTTGAAGCAAATCCCAACCACATTTTCTTCAAATACAATTTGGATCAGAATTCAAATTAGAGTCTCACACTGCACTTAAGTTATATCTCTGAAATCTCCTTTACTCTGTAAACACCCCTCCACACACTCTTCCTTCCCAATGCTGGTGTTCTATTGGAGAAATCAAAGCTTTTGATCTCAAGGATAAACTCATATTGCTTCCTCATGGTATGACATTTCTTGTCCCAATTTCCCTATACATATATATATATTTTTTTCTTTTCCCTGCGGTACTGGGGCTTGAACTCAGGGCCTTCACCTTGAGCCACTCCACCAACCCTTTTTTGTGAAGGTTTTTTTTTGAGGTAGGGTTTTTTTCGAGATAGGGTCTCGCAAACTATTTACCTAGGTTGGCTTTGAACCCTGATCTTCCTGATCTCTGCCTCCAGAGTAGCTAGGATTACAGGCATGAGCCACTGGCACCTGGCTTCCCTATAATTTTTAAACTACATACAAACTTGATTAAATTCAAGCTGAATTTTTAAACAAACTTCATTGGGATGTGGTGTACTCACAGTGCCACCACAGCATGAGATACATGAAGGCTATTTGTCCCATTCTCAGTGCCATTAGCATTGATCAGGAGATGCCAGCCTCGTCTCTTCATTATATAGTTTCCCATTAAGCTTTAACCTGATGGCTTTAGCACCCACTGATAATGGCTACCTAGCCTACCTATCCATTATGATTATGGACTGCAGAATAACGATTTTGCAATTCTATTATCCCTTTGAATATGCTAGTTAAAATGCTCCATAAATAAGAATTTGACCATACCAACAACCGGGCTATTGTGAAACAGAGGATTCTCTCCCTTTTATCAATCTTCAGTGATTTTAGCATAAATTCATTTATATATTTGATAGTTTGACTCCACTGTTGTCATTATTCTTTCAGATGTCAAAATTATTCCATCTTAGGTCAAGGGAAATTTTTTTGGGGGGAGGGTATGATACTGGGGTTTGAACTGAAGGCCTCACATTTGCTAGGCAGCCACTCTATCACTGGAGCCCACACAGCTCTTTTTGCTGCATTTTTCAGATAGCATCTTGCTTTTGCCTGAGGCTGGCCTCAAACCTCAATCCTCCTACCAGTGCTTCCTGGTAATTAGGATTACAGACATGCACCATGATACCCAGCTTGTTTGTTGAAGACTGAGATGGTGGTCTATGTTTTTTGGTTCAGGCTGGCCTTAAACCAAAATCCTTCTGATCTCTGTCTCCCAAGTAGCTAGAACTATAGGTGTATATCACCATACCCAGAAAACATTGAGTTTAATTCAGCCCATGTTTACTATGAGGCAGATCACTGGGGTGACTAACACTATCAATAAACAGAAATCCAGCCAGGCACAGGGGCTCAAGCCTGTAACCCTAGCTTCTTAGGAGGCTGAAATCAAGAGGATTACAGTTGAAGACCAGTCAGGGCCAAAAAGTTTGCACACTTCCATCTCATAAAGCTGGGCATGGTGGTGCTTGCCTGTCATCCCAGATACAGGGAAGGCTGAGATCAGAAGGACTGCAGTTCTAGGTCAGACAGGGCAAAAATGTTTGTGAGACCCTCATCTCAAAAGAAAAAGCTGAGCTTGATGGTATGTGCCTATCAACCCAGCTACAGTAGAAACCCTAAATTAGGAGGATCATAGTCCAGGCCAGCCTGTGCAAAAACCAAGACCCTAGCTCAAAAATAATCTAAAGCAAAAAAGGACTGGAAATACAGCCCAAGGAGCAGAGCACCTGCCTACCAGGCATGAAGCCCACAGTTCAAAACCCAGTACTATCTCCCCACCACAAAAAAAAAAAAAAAAAAGAAAAAGAAAAAGGAACAATTCCATGAATTCAGAAGTGGAATTTTTTTTGGAAAAAGGAGTCAGTACTGATAAATACTCTAGCTAACCACAAGGAATTACTTGGAGATCTTTGTCAGGTGAACAGCAGCATAACTCTCCATTCTTTGGAATCTTTCAAAGAGATATTCCTCACATCTAACCTTACAGCAAAACAGGTTTCAACAAAACTTTTTTTATGGTGATACTGGGGTTTGAACTCAGGGCTTCAGGTTTACAAAGCAGGCACTCTTAACACTTGAGCCACACCTCTAGTGCCCCACAGGTTTTACAGAAATTTCTGTTTTAAAAGAAAAATAATTCAGAGCCAGGCTCCAGTGGCTCAGGCCTGTAATCCTAGCTATTCAGGAGGCAGAGCTCAGGAGAATCATGGTTCAAAACCAGCCTGGGCAAATAGTAAGACCCTATCTCGAAAAAACCATCACAAAAAAAAAAGGACTGGTAGAGTGGCTCAAGGTGTGGGCCCTGAATTCAAACCCCAGTACTACCAAAAAAAGAAAGAAGAGAAAAATAATTCAGCCACTCAAAATAACTCCACAAGCTTTTCTCATCTGGCTATCAATCTGTATAATGGCAGCCCTTAAGAGTTAAAGATGGGGGAGTGCCTAAGGCACTTCTTGCCTGTTCGTGCTGTGGGCCATCACCTAGGCAAGCCCTGCTCTGAGACACTGACTGTCTTCCCTGTATTAAAGGAACCTGGAAAGCTGATGCATAAAGGTATTTTTATAAAATTTATCATCTCAAAATGGGCAAAACAGCAAATAAGCTGTCTTCATCACTTCTTGATCCTCAGGAGTCCAGGGACACACTACTGTCAGAGCATAATACAATTTCCCATTCTCTTTACTCTGTACATGCAGAGTGGCTAACTGCCATGGGTCCATAATGACTGGATATTCATAAGGCCACACACTGAAGTACTTGCTCCACATCAGAAACAAATTCAAATATGTTCAGAGCTCTCATGGGAAATTTCATGTTATATCAAGCTTATCTCTCCAGAATCTGTTGTTCAATAAATCAGGATCATGAGTTAAGAAACACAAGTCAAACTTCTTTGAGGCCTGTTTGGTGCTTCTTAACAATTGGAACAAGGTCCCTGGGGCTTATGAGCTCAGTGTAACTCCTATGGAGTCAATGCAAGCTTTTTTCTTCAGAGACTGTAGCATCCTCACAGTGCTCATAAACCTCACAATCCAGCTTCATGCTAATATTCTATAGCTCATTATCCTAATGAACTGCAACTGTGGATCAACAGGTGGCTTAAGCAGCTTTCCATCAGTTGTATGTAAATTTATCTATTGTTCCATAAGACTTCATGAGGTTGAGGTGAAAAGCTTCTTCAGAAAAGCTGATGTTTGATTTTCATTAGGACAGTTCTATCCGAGTCAGATATGGTTCTATTCGCACTGCCTTTTCCCAATGCTCTATATTTCTTCTTCTCTTTCACAGCTGCCCCTGGCTCAAGGTTAAGTGCCAGGCTCAGCAGACAAAGGACGCATTATGTGGTAGCCAGTATGTTCACAAACAGCCCAGTGTAAGTACTCAAGGGTTACTTGGTGCTTTATGGCAGAAACCAGCACTGATTTTCTGCCTAACAATTTAACAGAGTAAGTGCCAATTGTCTTCATTTTCTTTCCTCAAATGGACTAGATGAACGACAAATTCAGGGCTACCACAGTGGTGCTGCAGAACTCATTCATGAAGATACCACCCCAAAACATGACACTGCTGGTCCATTTGGAAGTTTTGTGGAACTTATGTGTATGCACATGTGCAGTCACCGCATTTTCTGTAGCAATGCCAAAGAGTTTAGGCAGAACCTCACGTCTTTTACACATAGCCTATCATCACTGGCACAGTCACATAGCAATACTGGGTAGGTCTTCAAGGGTGAATCTATAGATACCAATAAGGTTGGTGTATATTTCTTCAAGGATAGTAGATGTAAGTGGTAATGAGAATCAAAGTCAAAGGAATACTAGAATGTCCTCATCAGAGAAAAATGGGTATGAAAAGGTTGTACACAGTATACACAGACTGATTCTATATAATCTGTGATTTTGCCAGGCTTCCTTTGCTACACATCCAGCCAACCACTGTTATCCTTCAGTTCTAAGTAGAGCGTCTTCCTTTGATTCAGATCTTCACACTTCAGTCTTACAGGTTCTCTAAGAGTCACTCACTGACATAGTGGTGCTCAAGCGCTATAAAAATCATAGGACAAGTATTTCTCAGATTTCTAAGTCCACAGGACATGAACAAGACTCTTACCAGTTATGAAAAGGTTTGGCTACAGGGGTCAGCCTGAGCAATGGACTGTCTTCACTTTGGAACTCAATTATAAGCACTTGGCTCTGAGAGAAACTAGAGTCCTATTACACTGGTCTAACTTGCCCAGCTGCTCACAGCTACTGCTCACATATTCATTTCAGACCCAAGTCTCATGCTCAGTAGGGGATGCTAAACAGCTTGCCTATATCCTCAATAGCAGAAAGTACTTTTTGCTGAAATGGCAACTTGGCATATTAGTAGGATCACTGTTCTCACAGCGCTTTACTTAAATATAGCTCTACTTTGTAAAGCTTGACAAACAGGCTAGGCTGTATATTATTATTATCAATTTACTGGGCTTCTACACAACTACACCAATTTAGTAATGCATTCTAGGCCTCAGTGGAAACTACTACACAGCAGAGTTTAACAATTTAAATGCTATTTTAAGACTTGACCAAAGATTTATTCACCATATTATGTATTCCAGGTATTGAAGTCCATATATTACTTCACTATTAAACAACAGGTTGCCATCCAAGTATCAGTGCACTCTTCTGGCTCACAGTTGGAATTCTGGACCTCTGGTCAGCCCCAACATGCTGCCCTAAATATTGCAGTGCCCATGTTTGACTATTTGATATGATCTCAAGTCTTCCAGAACTTCCCTGAAATATATAGCCAGATGTTCTAAACTTATCTTTTCCATCTCCCCCAGACCTGAAAACAGCTGTTTATTTCTCCCACTAGGGGAAAACGGTATTGAATCTGGATGCTAGAACTATTGTCACTGTTTCTAAACCTTGTATTTATGCTAAACTTACAAGAAAATCTGATTAATAAAAAGCAACTTACAGGCAAAGGAAACAGCTTCCCATTTACTTTTATACACAAACTATTGGGATAGTTATCTTCTTGAGGGCAACTTGTCTCTGCCAGGCAAAGTCTGTATTTAAAAAGTGGAAAAAAAAAATCTTAAATAGTATATCCAAGCATTCTTATGTGATTTAAAATTCAAGGCCATGTGCACAGTTAGCAAATACAAAATTACAGTAACAAAATTTCAAACTTACCTCAGTTGAACTTGGACTGTATAATCTCTTCTACCACCTGGCAAAAAATCCCTATTGAAGAGAGAAAGAAAACAAGTTAGGAAAGCACAGTAAGATTTCACAGGATGAGCCAGGCATCAGTGGCTCACACCTGTAATCCTAGCTACCCAGGATGGAGAGATGAGGAGGATCGTGGTTCGAAGCCAGGCTGGGCAAATAGTCGCTTGGGGCCCTAACTCAAAATAAACCCTTTGCAAAAAAAAAATAAAAAAGGGCTGGCGGAGTGGCTCAAGATGTAGGCACTGAGTTCAAGTCCCAGTACCACAAAAAACAACAACAAAAATTCCACAGGAGCACTCATCAGGAAAAAAAAATTTTATGTATTTGATCCTTTCTCTTTAAAAGATGAACACTAGCCTACCAATAGCACAAGCCTTAGTCAAAATACTGCATTGATAACCCCTACTTAACTTTTAATCATTCTTTATGGCAATTTTAAAGTATTTTCAATTCAAAGGAACTTTGATGATACAGTACTTATTTCAACAGACAACAAATTTGGTTAACATGAAAAGGAGCATCCTAGATTCTGAAGGAGTTTAATAAATTAATCTGCATGCTTAGTAGATCTTCACCTTGGTCGAATACTCCAATCATTTAGAGACTTTTTTGTTTGTTTAATATAAAGTCCCACTCACCATTTATTCTTAAAGGTTTCAGTACAACCTGGCGGTTTTTGTAATGATTCAATACAGAATCAGTGCGTAGAGTCTCGATGTCTCTATACCATAGCAACTTCATAATTATGCATCCAATTACAGATACAGAACCTCATATAATTTCTAGGTGAGAAAAAAGTCCCATATAAAATATCTTTGGTACCTAACTCTCCAAACCCTTCCTATTCAAAACTGAGTCCAGACTCAAATGAAGCAGCACTACTGAATTTTAGAAACTTATTAGAAATCCAGAATTCTAGGCCCCATACTAGATCTACAAAACGGGAATCTGCATTTTAACAAGCTCCCCAGGTGACATGCATGCACATAACATTTTAAGAAGTATTATACGTAACCATTATCCTAAATCTTGGACTTCGTAAGAGACAAGATCATTAAGAAAGTAGTCCTGTCCTGAGAAATCTAAAAAAGTACATTTGGCCCTCACCTTGCTTCCAATTCTCTAGGTTCCCTAGAAGACAGTAAAGCACAGCAGTGATCAACTTGAACTCTACAGTCCCAAGCTACAGTACCAACTTCGCTCTACCACTTGAGCCACGCCTCTAGCCCTTTTTGCTTTATGTCATTTTTCAGATAGAATCTCACATTTTTGCCCAGGCCTTAGGCTGTGGACCTCCATCCCATACCCAGCTAGGATCACAGGCACACATGCCATCCTGCCCAGCATGTTTGTTGAGATGGGATCACTTGAACTTTTTTGCACGGGTGGCCTTGGGCCTCAATTTTATCTCTGCTTCCTGAGTAGCTGGGATTACAGGTGTGAGCCATCTCTCCAGCAAATTGCTTAACCTTTCTGAACCTTGGTTTCTACATTTGTTCAAGATGGAAAACTATTACATCTACCTCATCAAGTTATTGTGACCATAACACATGTGAATAATACAAGTAAAGTGCCTGGATTTAAGATATACTTAACAAGTGTGGGCAGCTGGCTGCTATTGTTTCCTCTGATCCCTCTATTTTCCTTGCCTCTATCATTCTCAAGTATTTCTTCAAACTACTCCAATATCCTAGATAATACTGACCTCTTCTATGCAACCCGTATCATTCCACTCACTCAAATTAAGATACATTTCAAACCGGGTGCTGGTGGCTCATGTCTATAATCCTAGCTTCTTGGGAATACTGAGATCAGTAGGATTGCAGTTCAAGACCAACTAAGACAAATACTTAGCAAGATCCCATCTCCAAACTAACCAGAGTAAAAAGAGTACAGGTGTGGCCTGCTTTGCAAGCACAAAGCCCTGTGTTTAAACCCAAGTCCCACCCCACCCCCCAAAAAAAGAAAAGAAACAAAAAAAGGAAGTGGTGGTGAAACCAAAAGAGAGCTGACCCCACTGGAAAAACCCAAGCCTGAATATATTCAAGCCTCAAACCTAGACCTTACTATTGCAACGTGCAAACAGGAGACACTAGATGCCCAATAGCGGTTCCCAAATTTGCTGCACACTGCAAAAATACAGGGAGCCTTAAAAATCAGTGAATTGGATTTCAATCCTTAGAGATACTAATTTAATTCATGAGCTAAAACCTCAGTATTTAGGTTGGATTTTTAAAGGATTCTCAATTGACTAATACGCAAAGTCTGAGAACCATGGAGATAGGCACACTTAAATGACACCATAAGAAGTAATCATGCAAATTCAGAATATATAATATGCTAGAGTCAAATGAACCATTTTTCCCTCTCTTTTTTGAAAAACCATGCTATGATTACAAGAGGAAAGAGGGTCCCATGGAGAAGTGACCAATTCTAAAAAAAAAAAAAAATACAAGATAAGCCTGGAGCATCTTGTAGCACAAGAAAGTGAAGAAGTAAATCTAAAGTGGATTTGTGAGGGAGAGAAATATCAAGAGAGTATAGAAGTCAATCTGAAAGAACTCCCAATAATGAAAGGTAGAACAATTTGAGCCACGATATAAATTTCTGTAACACTGGATTATAACCCACAGTATACCAATGAAACCACACTTACACAAATACATAAACGAATAAATAAAGGGACAGCTTTTTCTTACAGAAAAATAGCCCCAATGTAAAAAATAAAAAAATAAATAAGGACAACCAAAAATCACTGCTGCAACATGAGTGTTTTATTGAAAACAAGATCCACAAGCAAGCCAGGTGCCAGTAGCTCATGCCTGAGATCCTAGCTACTTAAGAAGCAGAGATAAGGAGGATCAAGGTTCAAAGCCAGCCCTGGGTAAATAGTTCAAAAAAAAAGTCACAAAAAAGGGCTGGTGAAGTGACTCAAGATGTAGGCCCTGAGTTAAAAAAAGAAAACTCACAAGCAAATGCAGTAAGTTTACAGTGCAAAAATCTGGCAGACAGTACCCGAACCATATGACCAAGGTTAACATGATCAAAAATAAGGTATATCGATATTATGTACACCCCGAAATGATACACTCTGAGAAGACCATGTAACTGGAGACACTCTTCTGCCACTAAGGGAAGGTCATTTCAATTTAATCACGATAAAATATCAAACACATCTGAACTGAGGGGTACTGTAGAAAATAGCTGGCCTCTACTCTTCAAAAAGTTCAAAAGTCCTAACAGACAAAGAAAAGCTAAGAAATCATCACCGACTGAAAGAAGACTAGGATGAATTCACAATTACATGTGATTTGGAATTGGATCCAGGAACACAAGTCCATTAGCAGAAAAACTGCTGAAATGTGAAGTGTTTGTGATTTAATTAATGGTACTGTGCCAAGTTTATAGTTAAGAGAACTACCACCATCCATCTTCAGAATATGATTAGTTTTGAGGATTATACAATGGTTAGGCAAGCTGCTGCCACTAAGGGAAGGTAAATGAAGGGCATTACATACTGTTTTTACAATTTTTCTTTAAATCAAAATTTCCTCAAAATATAGAGGTTAAAAAAACTTGGGAGAGCCGGGTATCAGTGGCTCACACCTACAATCATAGCTACTCAGGAGGCAGAGATGAGAAGATCAAGGTTCAAAGCTGGCCTGGACAAATAGTTCAGGAGACCCTATCTTGAAAAAACCCATCACAAAAAAAGAGCTGGTGGAGTGACTCAAGATGTAGGCCCTGAGTTCAAACTTTAGTACTATAAATAAATAAATAGATAGATAGATAGATAGATAGATAGATAGATAGATAGATAGCAAACCTTAGGAGACATAAAAATCAAAAGTAATACAGGGGCCTTATTTAAATACTGATACAACCAAGAATATCAGTATATAGACTAGGATTTTTTATACTAAGGAATTAAATTTGAGTTATCATGTTAAAAATTCATTAGCAGTGGGTGCAGTCTCAGCTACTCAGGAGGTAGATATCAGGAATATAGCAGAGTTCAAGGTCAGACTACGCAAAAAACACTCTTCACTTTAAAAACACATCTTGAAATATGTATCTTTAAATTTATTTACTCCAAGCTCATTCCTTCAAAAGCCACAAAATGTCCCAGAAGTTTTCTGCAACCACCAAGATTAATGGCGATCTCCTACCTCCCAAAAATCAGCTCATCAGTCATTACTGAATTGGCTCTTTTCATATGATACCTTGCAATACCAATGAACACTTCATCAAATGATAAAATTTATTGTTACCCTATCTTTAGGCTGTTATTCCATATTCATTTTTACATTGCTGTATTTGGGATAAAATTTTCATTTGAAATATTACTGCCAGGTTGGGAACATAGCTCAGTAGTAGGAATATTCATCTACCATGCAAAAGATCCAGGGTTCAACTCCCAGCACCAGAAAAAAAATTATTGTCAAATGTGGCTAAAATAATTTAAAAGCCATTCTGACATATTTTCAAAAGTTATGATTTTCAGCCGGGCACTGGTGGCTCATGCCTACAATCCTAGCTGATCAGGAGGCTCATCATGGTTCAAAGCCAGCCTCGGCAAACAGTTCTTGAGACCCTGTCTGGAAAATACCCAACACAAAAAAAGGCTAGAAGAGTGGCTCAAGTGGCAGAGCACCTGCCTAGCAAACAGTACCGTCGATTTTCTTCTAGTACACAGCATTTATTAACTATTTGACTAATCTTAATCAAAGTATACACCCCTTACTTAAGGAGAAAGTCAAACTGTTATAGTCTGAACTGTGTACTCCCAAAATTCATCATGTTGAAACTCTAACCTCCAATGTGACTCTATTTGGAAATAGGCCTTTCCAGGGGCAACTAAGGTTAAAGAAGATCTTAAGGGTGGGTCCCTAATACAGTAAGGCTGGAGTCACAGGAAGAGAAAAAGACACCAAGAATGCACTGGCATAGCAAAAAGGCCATGTGATGATGCACAAAAAAGGGCCAGCCAAAAAGAAAGGCCCCAGAAAAAGTCAAATTTCTCAACACTGTATCTTGGAATCCAGAATTTTGTGAAATAAAATTCTGTTTAAACAATCCAATGTGTGGTATTTTGTTATGGCAGCCCTAGCAGACTATTATACAGCATTCATGGAGAAGCACAGCCAAACATTCCTCTTACCTTGATATGCATATCTCTCTAACTTGTTGAGGTGTCAAAGCAAAAATAAAAAACTTCTCTTGAAATCGCTGAATACTGCTTTGAACTGGGGAGGGAAAATAAAGGCAGTACTTCAGTAACAAATCCAAGGATCTAAGCACCTGCAGTAACCAAGTAGTTCTGATAACATGCCTGCCAAATTCTGAAATGCTAAAATTCTAAAATGAAACATTATACTAAATTGCATTAATCTTGGAATTATGGATAAAGTCGTCCAAATGAGTTACTTTTAATTTTAAGCATTTAATTATTACTTATTCTAAAACACTATACTGTACTGTCAAAATGTAACAAGATGACATTTCATCCTGGATTAAAATCCATTTAATAAATGTCAAGGAGTCAAGCCCGGTACATGCCTGTAATCCTAGCTAGTCAGGAGGCAGAGATCAGGAGGATCACTGTTGGAGGCCAGTCCAGGCAAATAGTTAAGAGGGACCCTATGTCAAAAATACCCAACACTAAAAAGGCTAACAGAGTTGCTCAAGTTGCTAAGCAAGTGGTAGAGCACCTGCTTAGCAAGCATGGGGCCCTGAGTTCAAGCTCCAGTACAGCCAAAAGAAAAAGTTGAGGAGTCAGAACCCAGGAGAACACTGGGTTCAAACTCCAGCACCAAAAATAACAGCCAAGATTATAAACTTTGTATTATATATACTTTACCACAATAAAAAGGCTGTGAAAAAGAACACTCAAATAGAAAAAGTAACAGTTTTATTAGGTTTCAGCTGTGGTCACCAATATTTTTTTCCCTGTATGTTTAAACATTTAGCATTAACGCCTCAATTTTATAGCATTAACAGCAAATTACCAGTCAATAGTTGAAGGTTTCTGTTTTATTTTCTCTCTCATCCAGAGAAAAGCTGATTTCTCTTAACACTTACCTAAACTGGTGGGCTTGATGAGAACGTCAAGGATATCATAAAAGGGCAGGTTTTTTAACTGCACATCAGGATGGACAGGAGGAATTGGAGGAGATGGCTGCTGCATCTCAAATGTGGGCTTAGTATCTTGAAGCAGCACAGAACCAACAGGAGATGACGGTGAGTGAGGAGTAACTGAAGTAGAAGGCAACGAGTGGATTCCAGCCACGGCCAAGTCGGGCTCTACAGGTGAGGAACTACCATCCAAATTGAAAACTGATGATTTGATTGTGGATAAATCAGAAAGTCCTTCCAGAGTCCGTGGGTATCGGCGTCTATACAATTCTCGGATTTTAATCTGAACCGCAGGGCTGCAGCCACTCTTCAACAAATGCAGCGCCCTCATCAGGAGGTCATGCTTGCGTCCACTTTTATTCCGTCCAGCAAAGCCTAGTAATACTTGTAGTTCAGAAACCCTAAAACTAGAAACCATATTCTAAAAGAAAAAAAAAAAAAAGCCTATCACCTTCAAGTATACAAAAATGCTATATAAAATATACAATGTACTATAAGATTCCTGCACTTCATCAACTGGCAGTGCTAGTACCAGCCATTACACACACCAACTGGAATTGTTAACATTTACAAAGCCAACCATAAAAATAACATTTAAGTCTGTACTTTTTTTTTTTGGCTTTTTGACTATGTAGCCCAGACTGACCTCAATCTTACAATTCTCCAGCTTTAGCCTACCAAGTGCTGAGATTACAGGGTGATTGATCATACCTGGCTTGTATACTATTCTTAATTTTGGTAATCTTGTTTATTGGCTTTTATTAACTACTTCATTATCGGATTATGCTAACATAAACCCACATTTTCTTTATAACTATAAATGAAAATATTCCTATCCCAAACTAAGCCCTAATATACATCATGTTTGTTACAAAATAATCACCAATTAACAAAATTTTTAAAATTAATTTTTACAATGTTACATGTATGATGTCTGATACTGCTGAATAAATTTACAAAATGAAGTTTAAATTATGATCCAAAATCTTTTAACCAAACTCAAACAGTAAGAAACATACAACATAATAATAATAATTAAAAAAAAAAACCTAAAAATTTTTTGAAATATTAAAGCTAGGCCTGGGCATGGTGTCACCCCCCCTATAATCCCTGCGCCTGTGAGACAGAGGCAGGAGGATCATAAATTCTAGACTAGGCTGGTGTACAAAGTAGTTCAAGGCTAGCCTGAGCTTAAAGCAAGACCCTGTCCCAAAAGAAGTAAATATATATATATATAAAGCTAAAAAAACACATGCATACTATTTAGCAATCATCTTAGCTGGGTATTCAAATGAAAAAAAAAAAAAACCTTTGAAAAGTAAGGAAATGGATAGCCATAAATCTTCATGATCAAGATACCTTCTTACCACTCTACTGACATGCTCTCAGATGTAAATAAAGATTATAAACAGTTCTGCTTTACATATCACCTTCTATTGATTCAACAAAACCTAATACATACTTTCAGCCACTTGCTGCCTCACTGCCTCCAGTTACTTTGTAATTTTCATTCAGTTTGTAAACCAGGTCAGATTTACCTATACAGAAAGGAGGGGTGGGGGAAGGGCAGCAAACACACACACAGACACACACAAAAACAAGGCAGACCTGGAGTTCACTAAAGCCTTTTCAGAAACCTACCCTCAGAGACCCTCCTCTTACTGTGGCTTGGAGTTTCCCCACCCTTCCTCATCAGTAAGGCACATCCTTAGCAATATGAATTCCTTTCTTGAAAGACTAGAGATCTTATCTTCTAGGGAAAAAAGGGTAACTTATTGCAAACAAAAGGGAAGATGGAGATAAGGGTTTAGAACTATGAATGCGCAATCATATGGATTCTGAACTGGGATAGTCTTTGCATTGCAAAATGCTGAAAAGATAAAAGTACTGCCAAAGACAATGGTCTGAGAGTCAATGGGCCCCTGTGCAAAATTTGAGGACAGTCAATATGTAGCTAGAGGTCACCCTGGCACCAAAACCTGGGACCCTGGGAAAGTTATTTCATCCCTTTGATCATCAGTGTCTATTTAAAAACAACAACCCTCAGGCTGGTGAGTGAGTGGTTCAAGCAGGAAGGGTACAGAGTTCAAACCCCAGTGCTGCCAAAAAAAAAAAAAAAAGGTAAAAAAAAAAACAACCCTCTCCTCTATTTAGTACATACATAATCTCTAAGGATCTTACAAAGTAAAATTCTATGGATATGTTTTTCTGACCAACTTTGCTGGATCCCATTTCTTCGTAAGTGATAGCTATTTTTCTGCTAGAGGTGTGGCTCAAATGATAGCGTATCTGCTAGCAAGGGCAAGGTCCTGAGTTCAAATCCCACTTGCACCAGAAAACAAACAAGAAACTGCATCCCAAAAAGTATGATAAAAAGTACCAAAGAGATGTACCTATTTTTTTTAACTTAGTTTTTGAACCAAGTTTCAGGTCCTTCCCCCAATAAGTGAGTATAGTTAAACAGGAAGAGCCTTTACTGGGGTAAAGTTAGCAGTATGTACTGTCAAAAACGGATTTCAGGCTGGTGGAGTGGCCCCAGTGGTAGAATGCCTGCCTAGCAAGCATGAGGCCTTGAGTTCAAACCCCAGTACCACCAAAATAAATAAATGAATAAATAAATAAATAAAAAAGAAGGGATTTCAACTATTTTTCTCTACCAAACTCTGATGCTTTTATCTTTATGTTTTAAGTCTAATATCTTAAAAGCAGATTTTTGGGCTGGCGGAGTAGCTTAAGTGGTAGGGTGCCTACTAGCTAGTAAGAGGCTCTGAGTTGACACCCAAGTACTACTCCCCCACCAAAAAAAGATTTTTTTTCCAACTGTGCCCTGTGCCTCCCCAAATCTGCCTTTCAATACTTCAGTTACAACTGCTATTTGCTCTACAAACAGGAATTTCTCTACAGAGAAGAGAAATATGTCAGCATGATTGTTTTTTTAAAGATACATAGGCTGAGGATGTAGCTCAGTGGTAGCTCACTTGCCTAGCACACGCATGGCCCCAGGTTCTATTTCCAGCTCCATACACACACAAAAAAAAAATAATGAAAAGATACGGAACAATCTGAATTCTAGAAAGAAAGGCTAATAAATTAAGACCAGGACTTTAACTCAACATTGTTTCTTTATCACATTTAGATAAAAAAAAATTTCAAAAAATTTAAAGTCGTAACATTATGTAAATGAAATTACATATATGAAAGGAAAGCTGAAGGTACACTTAGAAAACACCTAATTAAACAGGAAAAGGATAGGTACACATAATCACCAATGAATAAAACATTTCTCTGAGACTTCAATCCTTTTTTTGGTGGGACTGGAGCTTGAACTCATGGCCTCACATTTGCTAGGCAGGAGTTCTATCACTTGAGCCACTCTGCCAGCCCTATTTTGTATAGGGTATTTTTCAGACAGGGTTTCACAACTATTTGCCCAGGTAGGCTTCAAACTGCAATCCTCCAGATCTCTGCCTCTCAAGTAGCTAGGATTACAGGCTTGAGCCACTGGAGCCTGGCCTTGTCTTCAATTCTTAAACATGAGATGGATATAACAAAAAACAGCCTAAAATTTGGGGATGCTCTAATAGGTTAGAAATCAATGCAGCCCTTCCCACAGGAGCTTTCATTCTTTCACTAAATAAACTTTCCTACCAAAAAAAAAAAAAGCAATCAATGCAAAGTTTGCAGATCTCCATCTGCCATGATAAATAATATGGGACAGGGAAGGGGGCTACTGAGGAAACTGACAAATGATATTATTAATACCTTCTATTCCGTTATATTAAAATAACCTATGTCTTTATTTCCAAAACAGGAATAAAGGAAATCCACAAGATCAACATAATCAACATGTGTAAAGAATGGTGATGCTAATGCCATAGAAGAAAACGATGGGCAAGGCAAAAAGATGCCCTAATTCCTAACTACTACCCATTTCAGAGATCACGTGAGGCCCCCCATTTCTGATTTATATTCCTGGCAAAATCATTTCTTCCCTCTAATTAAGTCCCTTTTTACTTAAGTTACCATAAATGAATCTCTTCCTTACAATAATTCCCAGGTGGCAAGAATCAAAACAAACTCAACTATTAAACAATAAGAACATACATCTCAAAATCTATAAAACAAGCCAAAGTTTTGGAGAACATCTCCATAAATGTTCCTATTATTATACAATAAAGATTTAAACTCTCTGGGCACTGTGGTTCAAGTCTGTAATCCTAGCTTTTTGGGAAGCAGAGACCCAGAAGATCACAACCAAGGCAAATAGTTCACGAGACCCCCCATCACAACAATGGCTGAGTGCTGTGGTATATACTTGCTGTCCCAGCCATGAGAGGAAGCACAAATAGAAGATTTCAGTCCAGGCCAGCACAGACACAAAGGGTAAGACCCTACCTCAAAAATAACAAACACAGCTCAGCTCACAGAGTGAGCTCAAGCAGTAGAGTGACTGCTGAGCAAGTGTTGAGGACGGAGTTTGAAACCCAGTACCACAAAAAATAAATAAATAAATAAAGCCAGGTTTGGTGGCCAGAGCCTATAGTCCCATCTACTCAGGAGTCAGAGACAGGAGAATCTCAAGTTCAAGGCAGCCAAGGTAAAAGTAGTAGGGAGACCCTGTCTCAAAAATCAAAATAAAAAATGATAGAGTGTCTGCCTAGCATGCACAAGGCCCTGGGTTCAATTGCCAGCATGAAAAAAAAAAAAAACAAAAAGGCAGGGAGATTTAAAGGATAAATCAAAAAGGACTGAGCAGAAAGCAAACTTTAGTCTTCAAAGTCAGACCCCAAAAAAGGAAAGTAACAAATGCACAGTCTTAACAATGAGAAAGGAGCCAGGTGCCCATGGCTCACACCTATAATCCTAGCTACTCAGGAGGCTGAGATCAGGAGGATAACGGTTCGAAGCCAGCAGGGGGCAAACAGTCTTGAGACTCTACCTCAAAAATACACAACACAAAACAGAGCTGGTAGAGTGGTACAATTGGTAGAGTGCCTGTTGAGCAAGCATGAAGTTCTGAGTTCAAAACCCTAGTACCACCAAAATAAACAGAGAGAGTGGGGAGAGAGAAAGAGAGGAGGGAGAGAAGATGGAAGGGGAAGAGGAAGTAGGCTAAAGCAGGTGGATGGTATGTTCAAGTATAGCTTGAACTACAAAGCGAGTTCCAGGACAGCCTGAACTATGTGACAAGACCCTGTTTCAAAAAAGAAAGGAAACAGAATCACAAATACTAAAGCAATTTCTTTAAGAGAACAGCACATGCAGCTGGGCATGGCAGCACAGGCAGCACTTGGGAGCTGAGGCAGGAGGATCTCTAGTGTGAGGCCAGCCTGGGCTATACAGAAGTTCAAGGGCAGCCTTAAACTAACTGGGCTGCCTAGGAAGACCCTCTCTCTCAAAAGCAAACAAAGCACATGTAATTACGACCTAATTAAAGACACAGATGAGTGATTTCCTAGAAAAATGTGAGTTATTACATTTGATTCAAGAAGAGCTAGTATTATTTTTGACCTATCCATCCAACAATACCTACATAAACAAGATAGTTTAGTGAATAATTTCTAAATCCTACTAAGGCTCCAAGGAGAAGACAGAACTAATTCTGACAGTGTCCAAGAGATTACAAGTCAGAGAATCAAAAGCATGTTAAAAAACAGGGAAAAACATTAAAACAAAAACACAAACATTTTTAAAGTAAGCAAATTATTGCTATTCAGACTTCAGGAGGAAGGGACAATGGCTACATTGGATTGAAACACTAAATATGTAATAAAATTTGTTCATGCCAGACAAAGTAGTACATGCCTGTAATCCCAGCTACTTGGAAGGCAGAGATCAGGAGGATGGAGATTAGAAGCCAGCTGGGGCAAAATAATAGTAATAATAAGTAGTAAGACTCCGACGTCAACAAACACACTGGGCATGGTGATTTGCATCTGTATTCTCAACTATGTGAGGATAAGAGAGAGAATCAGTCTGAGGCTGGCCCTGGACAAAAAGTGCAAGGCCCTACCTAAAAAGTTACTAATAAAAAGGCTGGAAACAAGTGATGAGAGTGCCTTGCCTAGCAAGTACCAGGCCCTGAGTTCAAAAAACCAATATAGCCAAAAACTACAAAGTTCAGAATGACACTTTAGAAAACTCTTTGGAGGACATGAGGAAAATAACTCATCATTATTCTGAAAACTCCAAAACGGAGACACAAAAAGATTGGCTGGTTCAAGAATGAAAGTCACACGATTAGACAAACGCTAGAAAGCATCTGCTAAAACTATTCATTTGTAATTTAAAAAAAACTGTCAACAAATAGGTATACAAGGAAACTTGGTCAGCATGATAAACAGTACATATCAGAAACTGACAGCAAATATCCTATTAAAGGTGAAACATTAGGGCATAAATTGAAGATCTATAAAATGTGTATTATGTTTTGTCATTATTCCAAAGATTCTAGATTACAACAAAGCAATAAAAAGCTTTCAAAGTAACATTTACCACTTACAAATGATGTGACATTTAAACTGGAAAATTTATCGAGAATCCAGTGAAAAATCAGAACAGCATTAAACCAACAAAATTTGTTGAATTTTCTATACGTTAAAAATTTTTTGCATAATCCTAGCTACTCAGGAGGCAGAGATCAGGAGGATCACAGTTTGAATCCAGCCCCAGGCATATAGTTCCTTGAGACCCTATCTCAAAAAACACATCACAAGGGCTGGCAGAGTAGCTCAATATGAAGGTCCTGAGTTCAAACCCCAGTACTGCAAAAAAAAAATAATAATAATAAAACAGCAGAATAAGGAGACTGGTAGTGTAGTTCAGCGGTAGACTGTTTGCCTAGAATGCACAAGGCCCTGGGTTTGAACCCCAGTACCACCAAAAACAAAGAACAGAGTAATGAGCAAAGAAAATGACAAACCTGGGGGTAAAGAAGGGTTTAGTTTTAATACATATTTATTGTATAAAATAAATCAAGTTTGTGAAGTGACGAAAAGACAGAATGAAAATACAACAATGGCATGTAAACTGGTAGTGTGGTAAGCAGTCCTGCAGGTGAGAAAGCAAAAGACTAACATCATAATTTCAAGAATCTATAAAAAAGCAAAAACACATGATTTTACAACTAGTAAAGTGGAAGAAACATGACAAAGCACAAAAAATGAATCCAATAAGGCCTGGCGTGGAGTTCATGCTTGCCTCATATGTGAGGCCCTGGGTTCCATCCCCAATATCAGAACACAAAAAAATGAAAGCAAATCAGGAGAAATTGGTATTACTAGCATACTTAATGCCAGGTACCTATAATCTTAGCATTCAGGAGGCTGAGGCATGAGGATCTCAAGTTTTAGACCAGCCCAAGCTACACAGCAAGCAAGACCCTATCTCAAATAAAAGAACAAGATTAAGGAAATCACTACAGAAATTTCAGACATCAAAAAGATAATACAGATGCTGGGCACCAGTGGCTCACACCTGTAATCCTAGCTACTCAAGAGGCAGAGATCAGGAGGATCATGGTAGGAAGCCAGCCAGGGCAAACAGTTCACAAGACCCTATCTCGAAAAAACCCTTCACAAAAAGGGCTGATGGAATGGCTCAAGACGTAGGCCCTGAGTTCAAACCCAGCACCACAGAAAAAAGGAAAACAGGAATGCAAACATAAATCTGGCAAAGTTTAATGAAGTGGATTAATTCCCTGAAAAACACACAAACTACCAAAATCTACTTGGTATAAAATAAGGAACTTAAGGACTGTTCTAACCTCTAAGTAAGGAAATTTAATTCATAATTTTAAAACAGTTCTCAAGCCCATGTGGTTTTACTGGAGAACTGGATAAAAGAAAAGAATTAGCAACAATTTTATATAATTCCTTCCAGAAATAGGCAAATACTTCCAAATTCATTATATTTGTTTTTTGTTTTTTTTTGAGACAGGGTCTTAATATATAGCCCATGCTAGTTTTAAACTCACAATCCTCTTGCTTCAGACTCCCAAATACTGAGATTACAGATGTGCCCCACCATGCCTAGCCCACAATTCATTTTATTCATCTAGTATTACCCTAATACCAAAACAGGACAAAGTAGAAATAAAACTAGAAACCAATATTCCCTCATGAATATGGTCATTAAATTCCTTAGCAAAAATATTAGTAAATAAAATTCAACAGTATATAAAAAGAATTGCCAGGCACCAGTGGCTCACACCTATAATCCTAGCTACTTGGGAGGCTGAGATCAGGAGACTCACAGTTTGAAGGCAGCCTGGGCAAACAGTCTGAGAGATCCCATCTCCAAAATAAACAAAATGGACTAGAGGTGTGACTGAAATGGTAGTGCAAATACAAAGCCCTGAGTTCAAATCCCATCTCACAAAAATATATTCACACATAAATAAATAGAATTATGCTCCATGATCAAGTGGTTTATAGTTAGATTTCAGGGCTGAGTTCAATGTTTTGAAATAACATAGCACACTAAGTTAACAGCTTAAAAAGAAAAGTTGTACAATCAAATCAATTAATGCAGAAACGTATCTGACAAATTCAATACCCAACTATGACTTTTTAAAATCATCAAATCTTTAATTTGATAAACATCCACCAAAAAAGCTAGAGCTTTTTACCTAATGGTGAAGTGAATCCTTTCCCAATATCAGGAATAAGGCAAGGATGCCTATTCTAGCCACTCATTCAACATAGTGCTAAAAGGTTTAACAAGTTGAAAAGAAAAACAAATTAAACTATATGACGATGAATAGCATGACTGTCGACATAGAAAACCCAACAAATCTATGAAACAACTCTTAGAATCAATAAACGAGTCCTGCAAGGTCAAAGGATACAAAACCAACACACAAAAACCAATCACATCACATCTTTCTAAACTAACAATGAACATGTGTAGAAACAAGTTAAAAACACAACCCCATTCATAACTACTCCAAAGAAAATTTAAATAAGTACGTATGTAAAAATCAAACAGACATGTTCAGAACTTGCATGATAAAAACTACAGAACACTGGAGAAAGAAATCTAAGATCTAAACAAAGGGTTTCTTCATGGATTGGAAAACTTAACATAATAAAGATATCAATTTACCCAAACTGACATAGAGGTTTAATGCAATACCTATACAGGTGAAATTGTTCTAAAATTTATACAGAAAGACAAAGGAACTAGAGGCTGTCATGTGGCTCAAACCAAGTCAACTTTTGGTAGTCAATGGTGCTGGAGCAACTGGACATCCACAGACTTAAAAATGAATTTTCATCTATGCTTGACACATTCTACAAAAGTTAACCACAAATGCAATACAGACTAATGTAAAAATGAGACCACAGAACAGTTAAAAAAAAAAAAAAAAAAAAGAGGAAAACCTTCAGTATCTAGGCCTTCACAAAGGGTTCATCTTTATTACGTCTGACACCAAAAGCAAGATTTATAAAAGAAAAATGATATATTGGACTTCACCAAAATTAAAACTTGTGCTCCATAAAGACCCCTTTAAAAGAATGAAAAGGCAGTCAAAAGGATCAAATAAAATTGCAAACCACACAGCTGACAAAGTACTGTTATCTAAAATATATATAGAATTTTTTAATAGGTTTTTTTGAGGGATGGTACTGGGATTTGAACTCAGGGCCTCATGCTTGCTGGGCAGGTGCTCTACCACTTGAGCCACTCCACCATCCTCATATTTAGAATTCTTAAAACTCAACAGAAAAAATAATCCAATTAGAAAGAGGACAAAAGACATTCAGAGACATTTTATCAATGGGAATATACAGATGGCAAATAAGCACATGAAAATATGTTTAATATCATTAGCCATCAGGGAAACGTAAATTAAAACCTCACTGAGATATCACTAGATACCTACCAGAATGACTAAAATGAAAAAGTGTTAACACCAAATGCTGGCAAGGATGCAGAGAAACTGGATCACTCCATACATTGTTGGTAGGATTGTAAAATGGTACAGCAACTCTGGAAAACAGTTTAGCAAGTTCTTTAAAAAACTATACATATAATAACCATAATACCCAACAATTGCACTCCTGAAAAAAAAAAGCTACATACTATATGATCTAATTTATGTAACAGTGTTGAAAAAAACAAAAATCACAGATATAAAGAACAGATTAGTGGATCTCAGAGGTTAGGGGTTGGGGAGTAGTGGGTGGGAGGGAACTGGACGTGGCTACAAAATGATAGTATGAGGGATCCTTATGTGATAAAAATGGTACGTTGTGCCAATGTCAGTATCTTATGAAGTCGAAAATTAATCTACTTAAGTCTTAAAAATTGGCAAACTTCTAAAATAATCAAGAAAAAGGTGCTTTAAAAAAGACAAAGGGGCTATATTTAGAAGTACTACATAGTATTTAATGCCATAAATTCAAGAATGTAGAGGAAATGAGCAAATTTCTAAAGAAAATGGAAAATATGAAAACTCCTATAACCAAAGCAACTGCATCAGTTAACAGTGTCCCTCAAAGAAAACCCCAGTAACAATTTTACAAGTACTATCAAACATTTCACAGATCATTCTACTGTCATATAAACTCTTCTAGAAAAAAAGGCATATTTTAAAAATTATAGGCCATTATCAAAAATCCTAAATTAAAAATCTTCAAATAAAGTCAAGTAATGAAAAAAGGGACAGGCAGATCAAGATTGAATTTATACCTGGAACACAAGGTTAGTTTAAGTATTAGAAAATCAACCAATCTAGCTGGGTGCTAGTGGCTCATGCCTGTAATCCTAGATCAGAAGGATCTCGATTCAAAGGCAGCCCGGGAAAATAGTTCCCAAGACCCTATTTTGAAAATATCCAACATAAAAAAGGGATGGCAAGTGGCTCAAGTGGTACAGCGCCACCTGCCTAGCAAGGGTAAGACCCTGAGTACAAACCCCAGCACTGCAAAAAACAAAAGAAACAAATAAATCAATCTAACTCACTATATTAAGAAATTACAGAGCAAAAATTCAGGAAAAGCTTTAATAAAATTTATATTCATTCTTAACATGAAAAGATTCTCCACAAGGAGCTACAAGCATTCAGCCACTTTAAAATCAAGAACAAGTTCAGGATACTCTTATCATAGCTTCTATTCAACACTGTACTTAGATCCCAGTTAGCACATTAAAAAGAAAAAAGGGGGGGGACAGGAAGAGAAAAGATAATCAGAAAAAAGGAAGCAAAGAGGTCATTACTCACAGGAGTATGAGCTTAGACAAAAACAACATAAATCTATCATAATTAAGAATATAACAAGGTGGTTACAGACAAATAATAATTCTATCCACCACCAAGCTAGAAAATACTATAAAAAGACATTTATGATTTGCCATAAAAATAAGATATCTAGAAATAAACCTAACAAAATATTTGCAAGTTTAAATAAAAATTATTAAACTTTATTGAAAGATACCATAAAAGACCTAAATCAGTGGAGATTACATGTTCATGGTCAAGCAAACAAAAACAATATGGAGTTTTCTCCAACCTAGTTTGCAGATTCAATATATTTCCCAACAAAATTCCAACAAGGTGTTTATGTAAAACTTAAAAAGACAATTCTAAAATTAAATAAAGCAATAGCCAAGAAGTTCCTGGAAGAATAATTACAAGGCCAGAGGACTGTAGTACTTCTGTGTCCCTCAATGACTGACTAGACTGTTTTGAGATCAATCCTCCTGTGAGAAGTTAAAGTGAACATGATATTTAAAAAACACCTGCCTGACCACATGACATGCTACAAAGGCAGCAAGGACCTGAGACAAAGACTTGGAATGAAGGCCTCCTTTCTGGAAAATTGAGTTTCTTTTTTTTTTTTTTTAATTATTATTATTAGCATATACTAGTGTACAGGAGGATACATTGTGATATTTACATATGTGCTTACAATATATCTTAGATTACCCCCATATCATTCTTCCTCTTCCCAAGTTGAATTACTAAATGCCTCTTTTCCCATGGAGATATCTGCTAATGGGAAAACGGCAATGGAGAGATTGAAAAGTCAAGAATCTGAATAGACCACAGTGTGAGGAAATAAGACACTGGCAAAACACACCCAGCAAGAGTTGGGATCCAGGATGTATAATAAAATGAAAAAGAGAGATAAGCCCAGTGCCAGTGGCTCATGCTACTTGGAGGCAGAGTCAGGAAGATCACAGTTCGAAGCCAGCCCAGGCAAATAGTTTGTGAGACCTATCTCCAAAGAGCCCAACACAAATCTGGGCTGGCAGAGTGGCTCAAGTGGTAAGAGTGCCTGCCTAGCAAGCATAAAGCCCTGAGTTCAAACTCCACTACTGCTCCCCCTCCCCAAAAATAAGCAAAAAGACTGGGCAAGCCACTTAGTAAGATATCCAAATACACCAAATGGCATATTTTACAGGGGTTTAATATCATTACTTATTAGGAAAATGGAAATCAACCACTACAAACTAACCAGAATGTCTAAAATTTAAAGGGTGGACAAGGGTGTGGATCAACGAATTCTTACTACGTTGCTAGTGAAAGGGAATCAATCAATAAACTACAACCCCGTATGACCCCCAAATTATGATGGTTCAATTTATAATTTCTTGACTTTTCGATGATGTGAAAGAGATAATTAAGCACTCAGTAGAAACTATACTTTAAATTTGAAACTTCCCAGGCTAGTGACATTCAGTAGGATATATAATGCTGAGCAACAAGCTGCAGCCTCCTGTCAGCCATCAGATTATGAGTGTAAACAAGAGTTACACTGTGTGTACTGTGTTGCTAAACTATGGTATTCAGTAGGTTAGGTATATTAAATTCATCTTTTTTTTTTTTAACCTCAGGGCCTCACGCTTGCTAGGAAGGCACTCTTACCACTTGAGCCACTCCACTAGCCCTTTTTAGTGAAAGGTTTTTTCAAGATAGGGTCTCACAAACTATTTGCCTATGGCTGGCTTTGGACTGTGATCCTCCTGATCTCTGCCTCCTGAGTAGCTAGGATTACAAGCATGAGCCACCAGTGCCCAGCCTTAAATGCATTTTTGATTTATGGTATTTTCAACTTTTGATGGGTTTACTGAGGCCCCATAGTAGAATACCCCAAAGAATATGGGCGAGCCCTGTGAATGAAACTTAAGAGGAAAAAAAGCCAGAAACAGAATGTGGACCTCCATACCCAAGTTTGGAAGTGATTTTAGGGCCCCAGCAGACAATGAAATCCAAAGATGCTCAAAACCCTATATACAATGACTAGCATTTGCATATAACCTACAAATAGTTCTCCCGTATAATTTAAATCTCTGGATTACTTATAATAATTGATATGATATAAATGCTAAGTAAAGAGTAGTCATTGTATTGTTTAGGAAATAAATACCAAAAAAATTTGTACATGTTCAGTACAGAGGCAATTTTGTTTTCCAAATAACATGTTGTTTCTATGAAACAAGGACTCACTATGTAGCCCAGGCTGACCTCAACCTCTCAATCTTCATGCCTCAAACCTGAGTGGTGTGATTATGGGCATGAGCTACCACACCCAGCTTTTTCCAAATGCTTTCAATCCATGCATTGATTGAATTCATGGATGCAAACCCAGCAGGTACAGAGGGCTAGCTACATGTACAGAAATAGAATTTATACACTATACAGTTATATAAACTTCAAAAACAAGAACAACTAATTTAAGATGTTAAAGTCAGGCTACTAAGTATCTTTTGGAAGGATGAGGTTAGTCACTGGCAAGGGGAATCTCTAGGGTAACAGTAATGTTCTCTTTCCTGACCTGCATGAGTAGACTGAGAAAACTCATCCATACCCTCAAGATCTGTGTCCTTGCTCAGACAGGTTATAGAGCAATAGATACCTGTTTCTATAAAAGTTGTCACAAAATTACAGTAATTATAAAAATGGTGATACTGTTAGTATAGACAGACTAACAGACTAGGGTCAAGAACCAAAGGCTATTCAATCACAGAATGAAAAAAAGAATGAAAGGATGAAAAGCTGGGCATAGTGGTGACTACTGTAATCTCAGCACTTGGAAGGCTGAGGCAAGAGGATAGAAAGTTTGAAGCCAGCCTGAGACTCATCCTGAGATCTTGTTTCAGGAAAAAAAGACCAAAGTATGAGGGATGAATGGATGGACAGACATACAGTGGAACAAAAATCCACAGCATAAAGGCGGTGTACGATTTGTTATTCCTTAGACAGAAAAATACGCATCACCTTACAACTATGCACAAAAGGGCTGGTGGAATGGCTCAAGCAGTAAGAGCGCCTGCCTAGCAAGTGTAAGGCCCTAAGTTCAAACCTTAGAGCCACCAAAAAAAACTATGTACAAAAACAATTCCAAGGCCAGGCATGATGGTACCTGTATAAGCACACAGGAAGTTGGAGCAGGAGGACCAAAGTTCAGGCTAGACTGGGCTATATAGTGAGACCTTGTCTCAAAAGACCAAAAAGAGAAAATCCAACTCTAGGTGGATTAAAACATTAAATGAGAAGTTTATTTTTTTAAAAATTCAACTTTTGTAAGATTATTATGGGAAGCACCTTCGAGTATCTGTTTAAAGATCTCTCCAACAAGATTCAAAACCAAGGGCCGGGCACTGGTGGCTCACACCTGTAATCCTAACTACTCAGGAGACAGAGATCAGGAGGACTGTGGTTAGAAGCCAGCCCTGGCAAACAGTCTGCAAGCCCCTATCTCGAAAAACCCATCACACACAAAAAAGGGCTGGTGGAGTGGCTCAAGATGTAGGCCCTGAGTTCAAACCCCAGTACAGCCAAAAAAAAGAAAAAACTAGGGCTGATGGAGTGACTAAAGTGCTAGAGAATCTGCCTAGCAAGTGTGAGGCCCTGAGTTTCTCACAAAAACAAAAACAACAACAAAAAAACCCAACTCAACAACATTAAGAACCTCTGCTCATAAAGAGACACATAAAACAGATTTTAAAAGTGAGCCAAATCAATGAGAAATTTGTACTACATAAACTCAACTGTAGAACTACTAGAGATTAATAATTTTTTTTAATGTAGCACAAACATGGGCAAAAGACATGAATAGTGCCAGGTGAGGTGGCAAAGGTCTGTAATCCCAGCAAACAGGGAGGGTATGACTCAAATGATACAGTGCTTGCCCAGCATGCTGGAGACCAGGGTTCAATCTTCAGTACCTCAAGGAAGAAAAAAAAAAAAGAAAAAGATAAGCATAGGAATGTCAGAAGAGGGAAGATGAATGGTTAATCAGCATAATAAAAGATGCTCAAACTAATTAGCAAAAGGGAAAAAAACAAACTTAGGGCTGATATTTAACACACGTTGGCAAAAACTTTTGAAGTCTGAGGAAAATGTTAGCAAGAAATCTGAGCAACGACAACTTCTGCGTTGCTGAAGGGAGTATAAACTGACAAATCTTCAGAAAACAGATATTCAATATTGTTGAATATGCACGTATCTTAAAAACCAGCAATTCTGGAGTGAAACATACAAATATTCACACTAAGTAAGCTTCATAAAAAATTACAAATCAGGGTGGGAGTGTAACTCAATGGTGGAGTGCTTGTGTAACATGCCCAAGGCTCTGGGTTCAATTCTTTGGCACTGCAAAAAAAAAGTCATCACTTTTCCACAAGCTAAGTCTAAGATTTTTAATTTTCAAAGTTTTTTGGATTTCAGAAATGTAAAAAAGGGATTTGGGTTCCTGTAACAGAAAAAAAGATAGAAGCTACCCTCATCTCCACCAAGGGAATGGATAAACTAAGTTATATTCATATACCATGAAGAATAGAAAATGATATATGAATCCCCCAGATACATGTAGCATTATTCCATTTATACAAAATTTTAAAGCATAAACTTTATAGTTATGTGAAAAGATCAACACAAGTATGATAAGTCCAGGGCTGGCAGAGTAGCTCAAGTGTTAAGAGCGCCTGCCTAGCAAGCTGGAGGCCAAGTTCAAACCCCAATGCCACCCAAAAAAAGAATGATAAATCCAAAATTCAGTACAGTGGCTTAGTAAAGGTAGATGTGGTCATGGTAGATAAGCTGTAACCTCTGGTAATACCTTAAATGGGTGGTAAATACATGTACATTTATTTACTTATATCAAATGTGTTAAAATCTTTTGTACCTATCAAATAATTTAAGAACTTAAAAGATAAAAATTAGTGTGGTATGCCTTAATACACAAACCAAAGAAATTTTTTAAAAAGAAAAATATAAGGATAGAGTTCTAATGAAGAAAAATATGATTACTGAAATAAGTTCTATAGATTTTAAAGACAAAGTCAAGGAAATCTTGCAGAATGTAAACAAACTGTCGAAGTCCAATAATAACCTCTCCAATATTTATCTGTCAAGAGTCTCAGCTCCAGAACTAGGGAGGCTGAGGTATAAGGATTGTGAGTTCAAGGCCAGCCTGGGCTGAGAGAGGGACTAGAGGTGTAGTTCAGTGGTAGAGCAAGTATTTAGCATGCAAGAAACACTAGGTTCAATCTCCAGCACAAAAAAGAAAAGCTTAGAAAAAAAGAAGAAGAAAAAAAAAAAGGGGTGGGGGGAAAGTTATCAAAGTTGAAGGTAATTCCAAGTCCTTCAATCCTCAGTACCTCAAGGAAGAAAAAAAAAAATAAGCAAAAGCAAAAGTACTGAATAGGTTCTAAGACACCAGAAGGAATGAAAACTGGCCCACTAAACTAGATACATTTCACAACACCAAAGACACAGAGATAGAGATCATCGTAAAGACTATAAAGGAGATTACTACAAAAGGATAACTATCACCTGTGTATGGGACCGCTTATTAACAACACTAAGTGTTTTAAGTTCCTGGAACAAAGCTTTCAAATTTCTGAAGAAACTGTTGTTTTATAACTTATAGAGTCATGCCCCACATACCAACGCTTTGATAACTGTACATAAGGCAGTAGTCCCCTAAGATTATAAAGGAACTAAAAAATTCCTACCGTCCGGTGACCTTGTGCCATCATAAAGTTTCAGTGCAATGTATTGTGTGTTTGCAGTGATGCTGTTGTAAACAATCCCATACACTGCCAGGCTGTCAGCCATATAAACATATAGCACATACAATTATCTGTAGTACATACACTTAATATATAAATGGCAATGTTACTGATGTTTATGTACTTACAATCATTATGAACATTATTAAAAGGGTTGAATTTATCAGACTTTTTTTATGGATAGTGCTTCTGAATCTTGTTCAAGAAATTTTTCAACAGTACTTGAAAGCTATATTCCATTATCATCTTATAAAAGTTGTATGTTTTTTTTAACCTTTCTCATATGTCTCAAGTCCATCTAGAATTGATT